GCCCATCTTGTGTCATATACTATCTCCCCTAAGATAGTGGACCTTGTGGGCAGCTGCCACACTGGGTTCCAAAACTGTCTGCTTTCTCATGCTCCTGAACTCAGATGCCTAGGCTTTAGCCTCTTGTCCCTTTTCTGGACTCTTCCTTGGAGGGTACACTGTACGTTTGAGCTATAAGTTTGGCTGTGTCTGGAATCACGCATCTGATGGCTTGCACTTGGGAATGAGGGGCTAGGGGAGGTATGCCCTAGCTGGGTACCCCTTACCCTGCCTCTGAGGTCTCTCAGACTGGGTAGGGGGCTGAGTGTGGCCTGTCCTGGGCTGTGGATCCTGGACACCCTCTTTCCCACCCTTTCCCTCACAGAAGAGGTGGTGAGCATCCTGGGGTCCCATGTGTAGGCCCCAGTGGCCTTGGTTAGGCATAACTGGGAGCCAAACCCGAACACCCCTAAAGTTGCCATCCCCTACACTGCATGTACCCACCAGGGCCCCTGGTGCAGGCCTGTCCTTGCACTGGGAAAGGGAGTGGCAGCAGCCATACCCTTCACTGGACCATGAGAGGAAGGGCAGAGTGATTCTGGGACAGCTGGGCCTAGGCCTCACACCTGTGGTTGACTATGAACCTCATGTGGACCTGGCACGGGTTTCAATGTACCCAGCTGTGGAGGGGAAGGCCCTTGTTCGACTTCAGTGGGGATTGGATTGGGGAGAGGCAGGCTCTAACTGGGCCCAGGGGATCCAGATCACCAAGCCCCAGGCCTTTAGGGCTTGACCCAAGCCAGAGATCACACTGGCCATATTCCACTGGACTTCACTCACTGTCCTGGCCAAGTCCCCATCACCATGATGGTTGCTGTCAGCTCTCTGCTTCTGACAAAGAATGAGGTCCCCACGGTGGGGCTGGGCACTTCTTCCTGCCGGGTTCCTGGCATTTCATCATCTGACCACTGGTCAGTAGCTGGCTGTCCCCATGGGCCTCAGGCTCACACCCAGGGCTGAGCTCCAGGGACCGGGTCTTTGGCAGACCCCCAACTCTTCAGAGAAAGTTCCAGGCTTCAGCCACGTACTGGGCCCAGGCTGCCTTTGGCTCTCACCCCAGGGCGCAAGGGAGGGAAAGGGAAGAGGACACTGTGAGAAGCATCAAGTGGAAAGGGGCTACCAATGTCCAAGTACTTCCAGTGAGGCTTCAACAGATCATTCCATACCTCAGTTTCTCCTTGTGTGAAATGGAGCAGAGGCTGCTGGGAGTGCTCAGCCCAGGGGCCAGGACATAGCCCAACCCCACTGGCTACTCCTGGAGAAGGGGCATTCACTCTGTAGGAAAGGACTACCAGGCAGAAGAGACAGCAGAGTGGCCGTGGGAGCAGAGGACAGGGGAAGCTGTGGAGAGGTCTGCTGGCTACTGGGAGCATCAGACAGCAGGGCCTTCCTCCTGGGCCTCTGGAGTCCCAGATTGCCCCCAGACCGAGTCCAAGGGAAGGAAGGCTTAAAGCCCTGGGCAGGGACAGGAGCAAAGACCACTGCTGCACCCAGGAGAGAGGATAGAAGGACCCTGAAGGTGGGGCAAATGTCACAGGTAACGGAGTCTTTCAATCCAGGATCCTTGGATGTGAGTTCTGCCACCTGAGGGTAAGGGGAGCTGGCAGATGTTGGACATGCCATCTCCACACACAGGGTGCCTCTCCAGGTCAGAAACCCTCCCCTCTCCTGGAGGGGAACACCTGAGGCCAGTATAAAGTACATTCCCACGAGTGGGCACGGAGGATCAGAGGCTCAGCCCAGCTGAGGGCCAGGGCGGCATGAGTGAGCGGACTGCTACTTCTCGGGATTTTACTTTACCAATGTGTGGAGCCCTGAGGATGCCAGAGAGTGCCCTTGGCACAAGCAGACACATGGGCGTGAGGGCCTGGAACAGCGCAGCCCAGTCCCCACTGCAGGGATTCTACGTGGTCTTTCCCCAATTTTCTGTAATGAGTTAGACACCATTTGCATATAAAAGGTCCTATGTTAAGCCCAGTCTCCACATGCTGCTTTCGTTTGAGTCAGTGTTTCTATTTCTAAATTCTTATTTATTTGTCTTTTTTTTTTTTTTTTCTTTCTTTTTAAGGAAGGGTCTCCAGGGTGTTCAGGGTCTCACCACTAGATCGGACTCGTAGTGATCCGCCTGTTTACCGCCTCCCAAGAGCTGGGATTACAGGCACACACCACCACACTCAGTCTCAATTGCCATCTCAGCATGCCCCCAGGGTGGAGCCCGTACAGCAGGCCCAGGAATCAAACCCCTAGCCCCTGTGCCTGCTTGCAGTCCTTTAATCCACTGAGCTACTTGGCTGTCCCTATTTGTCTTTTTGAGACATAGTCTTGCTATGCAGTTCATGCTGGCCTTGAGCTTACTTTGTAGCCCAGGCTGGGCTCAAATTTGCAATGCTCCTCTTACCGCAGCCTCCCAAGTACTGGAATTATGGGCATGTGCCACCACGCCTATCTAATGTTTCTGGCTTTTTAGTACAGGGTGTTGAACCTAGGACACTTTGCACTGAACTGTACCTCCAGCCCTTTCTTACATTTTCTTTTTTTCTTACAGTTTCACTATATATAATTCGGGCTGGTTTTGAACTTACTATGTAGTCCAGTGTGGCCTTGAATTTGTGGCAAATTCCTGCCTCAGCCTCCTGAATGCTAGGATTACAGGCATGTGCCACCACTTGCTCTACAATCTTAATGCCAAAACAGAGACTCTGTGTTATCTTGCAGTTTGTGTTATTTAATCACTTATAAATATATTTGTTAGGAGAAGCTGTGTTCCTAATCTTAAGAAGCCCTACCACACCTTCTAGCAAATGCGGTGAATTGGAGCAAGTTCGGTGATGTTCACTGTTATGGCTTTAAAATCCACGTTAGTGTATTCAACACAAATAATTATTCAAATGTGGCTTCCTAAACTCCTTTGTTCATCAAATTAGGGCTCTGGGATCCTCAGATCTGCCCATACCCAAGCAAATAAGGACAGGCTTGGGCAGACTCCTTTGCAGCATTCACAGGACACAAAACAGGTGTGGACTTGAGCTGCCACCTAAGGCTGCCAGCAACACCTCCTGCCAGGCTTATAGTACAATGAGGAGCGGGGCCAACTGCCACTGTGCAGCCTCTCCAGGTTCCAAAGGGCCACTCAGCCAAGATTAAAACAAATAATGACCCTGTATCCAGAGGAAAGAAGGAAGAGGAGGAGGAAGAAGAGTTGGAGGAAGAGGAGGAGGAGGAAGAGTTGGAGGAGGAGGAAGGAGGAAGGAAGGAAGG